TAATGCGCGAGTATGAGAACTTCTGCGGTATCCACGTCCGACACTTGTATAGTACCTGATGATGCGATTGAGCTTACGGAATACAATTTTTGATGAATTTTATCACGCGTACGTTGAGATACGCGGTCGTAAATTTGCTTACGTAGGAACTTAAGCACATAGGTTGTAATACGAACGAGTTTTAGATAGTTATTTGTTACCGAAAAGGGTAACACCGACACAAACTCACCTTGCTGGACTATATGCACATTTTGGTATTCTGACATCTTCGCCACCTGACGGTGGAATTTGAAAGTTAACATGCGCATTGGGCCATTGACTAGATGGACTACGCAGAAAATGAGGTCCAGTCCACCAAATGTGATTTTCAGCTTCCTTCGTTGCCAGACCGCGAGTAGCACAGTCGGCAGGATTGTCCTCGGAAGCTACGTAGTGGAACTTGACTGGAATGCCCTGAGCCTCAAATTCTGCTACGATACGACGAATGGCTGACACGCGATTTTGAACAAAAACCTTGTAAGGTTTCAACGCGTGTATCCAATGCAATGCGATTAGCGAGTCTGAGAATACATGAATGGCTACGAAAGGCAAGTTTAGATGTTTTGTCAGAAACTGCGCCATACGTACACTGATTAGAGCTGCGAGAAGCTCAGCGCGTGGGAATTGTGATTGGTTTGGGATTATTTAAATGTGATTTTGCCATAATCAAGTTGGAATATGTCTTGGTAGGCAAACGACAAACCAAATAAGCGCAACACGCGTATAGACGCTGGATGCGTCTCCAAAAACACATAGCTCTAAGCTACCAGATTTTGAATTTGACGGCATAACTAAACGCGGTACAGGTGGTAACGGATGTTTAAGTTCAGCCATAAGCTGATTCCACTGATCTAACTGCGATTTGTCCATGGGGGTGTCCCAGCCCAATTCCTGTATCCAGAGGTCTTGAATAAAGACTTTAACTGGAGCCAGAAATGGAGTGAGCAGCCCCAAGGGGATCGTAGGTAGATGCCAGAGCACGTAGTGCTGTGCGTTTAGTGCTAACGTGGACTTGCGATGTTTTTATACGAAGGTCCAACGTGTCCATTTGGAACTGCCAACGTACACCTAGTAGACTAGCGTTAGACGGATTGATGGCGCGGATCTTGAGACGGAATAGATGAGTTGACGCGAGAAGAATTGCACAAGAACTCCCGAAGGTTCATGTGCATTCTACTAAAGATGGACTTGACGAGTTTGTACTTGCTAAGCGCATCTTCTCGTGAAGTAGCGCCCAAGATGACGTTATCTACGTAAGTATTACGAGAGATCTCGTCACCTACGGGTGATGCTTCACGTTGAAGATATAACTTGATGGCAGCTGCAAGTAAAAACGGAGAGGCGTTAACTCCAAAGGTATACGAGTGAATCTTAAAATACGCAAATTGTTCGGAGACGGTGGTCTTGACGGATCTTTTAACCACAAAAAGCGAGTAGCATCGCGTTGCGAACGCTGAAGCGGACTTGATGGAACGCCTTCTCCACGTCCGCTATGAGGAGGAAACGGATGCAGACGAGCACGAAGTAGGATACCTACGAGATCTGGCAAGAGCGAAGGACCTTGATGTAGACAGTCATTGAGACTGTACGCACCCTTGCGCTTCGAAGAGGCATCAAATACGACGCGTAACTTTGTGGTAGAGGAGGATTCCTTGAATACCGCCTGATGAGGGATGTAATAAATACGCGGATCATCGAAGACGTATTCTTCGACATCCTCTACGAAGCCTGCAGTGATGTGATCCTCAATCGCCTTGACGTATTGCTGCCAAACAGACGGATTTTGGCTAAGACGTTGATATTGACTCGAAAGGCGACAATACGCGAGCTGCTTGTTGTCGTCAAGATGTGGATGATTTGCTTTCCAAGGAAAGCAGACGTAAAGAACACCGTCGACAAATATTGCCGTATCGTTGAATTGTTGAACGATGGTTTGATGAAGTTTACTATCTACGGAGGGGTCGTAGTCGTCGGCTATGCCGAGTGCATCTAAGGACCACAAGCGTTTTACTGCGACGTCGTCCTCGTGCTCGGCGACTGCGACCGTATCACGGAATTTGGGCTTTGCGAAAGCCTGACAGAAAAACCGAGTTCCCGGAGACGACCGTTCCGAATCGAGTATGACACAGGACCATGCCCGAAGGCAGGCAGATGGGAGGCTCTGGTGACAGAACATCCCAAAAGTGGTCAATACCGATAAGGACGTCAGGAACGACTGACTGCGACTGACAGAACGGTAACGAAAAGCCATGATCTTTGATGAAGTTGACATCCTCCGACGACAAGCGCGGTGGAAATTGCGCAACTGTGACACTTGACGAGTAGTGAGCTCGACTACGAGCTCCTTTATCTAGCAGATCGACCAAGATGAGCCGCACGATACCGGAGACTTCCGTGGTGGACTGACCACCAAACGCGATAAACGTGCGAGGCTGCGGATCAACAATTTGAAGGCCGAGACGGTCAGCTACGCTTGATGCTATGAAGCTGTTCTGCGCTCCGGAATCGAGAAACAAGACGACATCTTCGAAGCTGTGCGGAGTTGCAGTTGAAGGCTTTGCCTTTTACGAGCATAAGCGAAGCGAACCTGCGCGACGTAGCCGTATTAACTGAAGATAAGCCTGTGTGGAATGACTGTACTATTTCCGCTTCATCCTCAGACTCGAGAGCCTGATTCTGTTGCGGGTATGGCGAACTGCGGCGTTTGTGATGACTTGATGAATCCCTTACGGGAGAACGAAACGCAACACGTTGCGGAGAATGCGAACGAGATGAACGAGGCGACCAACGAGCTCTGCTTGACTCGTACCGCTCACGAGAGTATGAGCGGGATCCGTCACTTCGAGACGAGCTGCGGGCTCGACGATGTTCTCTAGACGGACTACGCGACGAATAACGACGAGGCGAACGGTAACGATGATGTTTATCGTCGCTGCGTCGATCCCTTGTTGAATGACGACGAGCTTGTGATGACTGACGACAGAGAAGATCGTGATGATCTCCTCCGCACACGCGACAAGCTGGATAGTCACACGTACGAGACGAGTGACCTTCTCGCAAGCATTTCCAACAGAGATTACGAATTCGTACAATAGTACGACGTACGGCAACAGGCGCATCCAGTGGGCATCGCGTTGTGCGATGGTCAACGGATTCGCAGAAATAACATTGAGATGAACGAGGCGAATACCGTGAACGAGACGGAGAGCGCGATGACGTGCGCTGCGATGTAGCTGTACTTATGCTAAGGCTGGTAGAAAGTGTGGTAGTATCCTCGTATTTCTCCGTGGATGCGATGATATGGTCTAATTTCTGCATGACCTGATCGAGATCAAAATCCGAATTGGTTTGAAACTCGAGGTCGTGCAGTTTACGTTGAATTTCCGACGGGAATTTGCTCTTGACTAGGTCAAGAAGCGGCAACACCGTACGGAAATCTTCGTATCTACGCAAACCATGGAGAATACCGGATATGCGGAAACCAGGTATTACGCAGGTCTTGACCGTTGTTACGAGCTGCGGGCAGTTGCTGAAGTTGCTTATGAAGAGTCGCACGAGTCTTATAGGACGATCGTAACGCCTCTTCAAAGCCCTCACCAACTCAAGATAATTGCACTCGTCGGGGTCAAGGTCCTGGAGTACTACCTGGGCCTCGCCTTGAAGTAAACTTTGTAAGTACAAAATTTATAGACCGATGGTGTATTAGGGTCATTATGCACTGCGAGCTCGAAAGCGCACCTATGAAACTTGTAATATCCCCTGTAAACGGTTCAAGCGTGAGTTTGCCGAGCTGTATGCAGGCTGCGGCTGAGGATGTTGGCTGCAGGGGTTGCGGTTGTACTACGGGGTTGTATTGCGTGTAGTACGGCGACAAACTAGGCGCGTCGACTGTACGCTGCGGCAGTACATACGAGCGAGTGGTGTCACTCGCAGAAGACGGCGTTGGCGTATGTTCCCGTTGATCTTCTTGATTGCGTACGGGTGGAGGTTGTGTCGTATCTGAAAGCGACTTGAGCTGATTGGTGTCAATGAGCGTATTAACTTCATTTAAACGTACACTAAGTGACGATATTATTGATTCAGCTGTCGCGACAGCGCCATCTACGCGAGATTCCTGAGCAGAAATTTCTTGGGC